TATCTATCTATCTATCTATCTAGCTATCTATCTATCTATCTATCTATCTATCTATCTATCTATCTATCTAATCTATCTATCTATCTATCTATCTATCTATCTATCTATCTATCTATCTATCTATCTATCTATCTATCTATCTATCTATCTATCTATCTATCTATCTATCAATCTATCTATCTATCTATCAATCTATCTATCTATCTATCTATCAATCTATCTATCTATCTATCTATCTATCTATCTATCTATCTATCTATCTATCTATCTATCTATCTATCTATCTATCTAGCTATCTATCTATCTATCTATCTATCTATCTATCTATCTATCTATCTATCTATCTATGTATCTATCTATCTATTCTATCTATCTATCTATCTATCTATCTATCTATCTATCTACCTATCTATCTATCTATCTATCTATCTATCTATCTATCTATCCATCTCTATCTCTATCTCTATCTCTATATCTATATCTATATCTATATCTATATCTATATCTATATCTATCTCTATCTCTATCTCTATCTCTATCTCTATCTCTATTTATCTCTCTCTATCTCTTTCTATTTCTATCTCTATCTCTATCCCTATCTCAGTCTATCTTTATCTCTATCTCTATCTCTATCGCTATCTCTATCTCTATCTCTATCTCTATCTCTATCTCTATCTCTATCTCTATCTCTATCTTTATCTCTATCTCTATCTCTATCTCTATCTATCTCTATCTATCTATCTATCTATCTATCTATCTATCTATCTATCTATCTATCTATCTATCTATCTATCTATCTAATCTATCTATCTATCTATCTATCTATCTATCTATCTATCTATCTATCTATCTATCTATCTATCTATCTATCTATCTATCTATCTATCTATCTATCTATCTTCAACGATACTCCGAAACGCACCTATTGCCTCAAATGCTGCTTGAGAACTAACTCATCTATCTATCTATCTATCTATCTATCTATCTATCTATCTATCTATCTATCTATCTATCTATCTATCTATCTATCTATCTATCTATCTATCTATCTATCTATCTATCTATCTATCTATCTATCTATCTATCTATCTATCTATCTATCTATCTATCTATCTATCTATCAATCTAAAATAGATTTTTACCTATCCATCAATCTATTTATCAATCTATCTATCAATCTATCTATCAATCTACCTATCAATCTATATCTCAATCTATCTATCAATCTATTTATCAATCTATTTATCAATCTATCTATCAATCAATCTATCAATCAATCTATCAATCAATCTATCAATCAATCTATCAATCAATCTATCAATCAATCTATCAATCTATCTATCAATCCATCTATCAATCGATATATCATTCTAAGATACTTCTACCTATAAATACTTTAATAAATACTTCAATAAATTCTTCAATAAATACTTCAATAAATACTTCAAATAGCATAACAACACAAATTAAAATCGAAGTGGCCGAAGTGCATTATCTACTGTACTGAATTTCCGGATTATTGTGCTTAGTTTGTAATATTTAAAGAAGTCTTCATAAATAGATTGACACTCTTGGGTCAATTTCTTTTCGAAATAAATATGCAGAATTCATAAACATTTTCGTAGAGACCATGTTGTTCAAAATATATTTCTTATATACATTAATACTCATATACTGTTATATAATAATTTATTAGCGGACTAATTGGCCATTTAAATAAAAATAAAAAAACTATAATTTATTATTTAGGTATTTTCAAAAACAATTTATATTTTATTAAATTATTTTACCGATATATCGACTATCTTCGATAGTCATCCTCAAGGAAATAAAGATACAGATAAAGATGACTATCAAAGATAGTCGAAATATCGGAAAAATAATTTTGTAAAATATAAATTGTATTTAAATATAAATAATAAATTATAGTTTTTTTTTCTATTTAAATGACCAATTAGCCCGCTAATAAATTTTTATATTCTCATATACTCAAAATATTGTGATATATAGTTAATACCTAGCATTCAATTATATAGAGTTATTGAAGGGTATTCCATTTTTCTACTTTTTCGATACCAATTAAGTGTTTTCTTTTATTATTATTAAATAATATTTATATTTATAATTTATTAAATTTCTACTTTAATGGTGTAGCATTTGCAATCATTACCATATTGTTTACCAGTTTTGTATCAGTTTTAAGTTCTCATCATTTAACATCACAATTTTCCCATTACTCTTCTATGATATAAAATAAAATTGTTTTCGAATAAACATGTAAAATTTTGCAAATGTAAGATCTTTAAAAATATATGTATATCGAAAACATTGGCTGTCGATTTAACACATTTTTTGTAAAGAATTCAAAACATATGTATTTGATTCAGTAACTCAAATTATTTCCATAACCTTAATCTACGTTAATTTACCAATACTCACTCCATTTTTTTAAACAACACGCACATGAACATTGTTTTCTCGTTCCCTCCTACTAGAGAGAGCGCACACAATATGTTGACAGCACAGACGATAAAAACCTTGTACATTATAAACACACCTCTTTCGAGCTCATTCCCACTTAATTTGTTCTTATTGCTTATGTTTTCAAAACTAGTATATCACATAAGGATGATGTTGCTGTGTTCTTCTGCACTTTGCATTATAATCGCAATTTGTCATTTTGTCATTTCTTTATTATTATTGTTTACGAAGAGCGAAATTTTGAGGTACCAATCTTTTTTTAAATGAGTTTGTCTTTTGTGAATGACAACTAAAAATTATTGCCACAAGAGTGGCAGTAAAAATGCCACAAGAACACTAACGACGCCAACGCAATTTTAGCTATCATCAGTGTGCTGAATAGGAGCAAAAAATGTAGTATCACGTAAAGCAAGACAGCTCAGTTGACCCCGAAGAAAGATGAATACGCTTATCTGTATCGCAATCACTATTATCATTTGTGCCTGCACACATATCAGTAGTTTGCTTATGCAAACAACATGTGCCCTTAATCAATTCACTAATCGGCATATCTCTCACCTTACACACTGCCGCAGAGTGTAGCGTGCACTGAAAATGGTTCATGCCAAGCCATCAGTAATAAAATTAGCATTTTTGTAAATGTTGGATGTCGTATGGTTTCGTTGTTAGTGATTGTTATTCTTGCCTGAATTATGCAAGAAAAGACGCAGAAAATAAAAAGCAACTGGAAAATTGTCATTTAGCCAAAATCGGTAAGTAACTAACACATTCACTTAAAAAGGAAATTCTATAAAGGAACTACGTTGAGAAGTTTTCAGGAACCTCTCGATTCAGTGGCGAGTCTGTGGACGGCTTGATGACGGTTTTTGAGTTTTTGATTGGTTGCTTACATTGATTACATTTTCAGCCTTTATTTAATTTAAAATTTGACGCCACCATTTAATGCCTTCCGAGGACATTTGATTTTTTAAAACTGAGGCGCGTCGTTAAGGCAGCAGCTTAGGTCATTTTACTTCTGGTTTCACATTTACGCCAAATGTTCCTAACCCTCTTTGCTTTCCAGCTAAATTATTATTTAAATTTGAGTGCTTCCTGATTTGAACTTCTTATGTATTTATATAATTTAAGTGTGTGCAAACTTTAATTTGCATTAAATTAATATTAATACATCATTTGCACTAATTAAGTAAGAATAAAATAAACTACAACAGACACTCAACGCTTGTTAATTTTAACAAGGTCAGCTTTGAGCTTAAAATAATGTGGAAAATAAAAATTAGGTTATGTTATGCAATATTAATTCTCTCTGATCTCTTCTTTCTTTCAAACCTTTTTAACAAAAATAATAAATTCCTAGAATTTTTTAATAGTAATATTTCAAAATATATAGACTTTTTCGATGACTCTTATCTAAAATATTGTTTTTTCTGTATAAAATATGGTAGGTCTAAAACAGGATCTTTTTATATATGACACATTTCAAGATTAATATTGATTAAATTCTATCAATTTAAATTTCTTTTTGAACACATGGTTTTTACGAACTTAATACTGCTTAGTTATATCAAGATATCCATTTTAAAGCTAAATTAATATACATACATATATATATATATTTCTTAAATTCTCATTATTTTTACAGGTAACTGAAACAAAATATTTAATTCCAGCTTACATATGCTCCTTACATTTTCAAATTATAATTATAATTATAGTAAATTAGTTAATTGTTACATTGAATTCATCTCCTCATTGCAAGTTTGATGATAGATAAATTATTATATTCGTTAAGTAATCTTTCACTCTCGTTTCGCAAAATACTATTTAAAATAATATTCCTAAATAAATTTCATGAGAATTTCGATGTACTGGTACGTACAGTACAAAATTAAAAAAAAAGATTATAGAACGCAAACTCACTACATATAAAAAACTGTAGTTCACTTGCAAACTGACTTTTGCATTATTCGTTGTGTAACCCAATAATCTGTTACTTGTGATAAAATATGTTTACAAATGTAAAATCCATTCCAGCGCAAAAATAACAAATGTGACACATATGTAGACACGTCACAACAATCTCGAAATAATATAAACAACCGTTAAGAACAAGATTTTTTCACCCTTTTACCCCTCTTTGCTTGAATTTCCATTTGTAATCAATTTTCGCTTCATACATTCACATACATATTTATAAATTAGTTTACAAGACCGCGTCAGAATTTTCCACACGTACTTCTAAGTTTTAGTCCTGTTGCTGCTGCATGCTGCATAAAGCCTAATGCCAGAGTAAAGTCGACGACAATCATTGAAACTATAGCGACTATAACTAACAGATAACGTGTTTCGTTATGATGTAATACTTCTGAAAAGCTTTTCGGAATGTTAAATCAGATTTGGTGCAATATGCAGCAAATAACTGTATTCCACAAATATTTTTTAATTGCCCGACTATAGAATTATGTAAAGTATATATGGACAGTATTAATAGCGGTAGTCTATCTTACTACATCTCTATCTTACAGCAACATAAACGATGCAGAAACAATACTGAAATACATTTTTAAGCCACTAACTGAAGTTGAATGTTGAATGAAGATGACAGAAATAACAGGTATAGATGGACAACTTTACTTACCTGAATTATATTCCACATTTCCACGATACCAGATAATTTCAGCTTTAGGTTTCGCATTTGCCACTGTGCACTTTAGAGTTAGGTCTTGGTTTTCTCTGACTTCTACTTTTGAATTGGGCGTATATCCTTCGATTTCAATAGAAGACGGTGGTGCTGCAATTAAATAAAAATATGCAAGAATATTTTAATACATATTTGGGACTTTCTAAATTAAGTATTATTAGAAATAAGTCTCTTAAGGAATATAGTTAAAATACACCGCTTTCAAAAATGTAGTACATATATAAGTTCGAATAAAGTAGTTGAATGATGAATGGGTTTCGGAAAATTACAATTTTCTAGTCAATGCAGAATATGTAGAAACCTTTTAGTTTAATGAATTGTTAACTTAATAGAACAGTTTTCGAGCATCAAATGACTTGATTCCAAGTGGGAACCTACTCAATACACAGATTTTAACCTGCACTCAAAAAATCTTCGCATTTTATTTTTGTGAGATCTGGAGTATTTTTACTTTTGGATTATATTGTTCATCTGATGTATTTTATGTACCTATCATATTCAAAGGTTTGAAAAAATAATATAGCAATATTTCCACATTTTTTCAATATCAATTGCCTTGTTTTTTTGTTATTCCATGCGATCAAAGTGCAAAATTTACAAATTTATTTTAAACATAAAATATAAGTTTGATTTACTCAACTTAATACCATATCCCGTCACCCCGTTATCCCATCAAGCCTTCAAACAATATCCTCCTATAGAGTGCTTTCCACTTGTTGTCAGGAATACATGAGAGTCAGACAAAACATCACTTTAACTTCCAAATAAAACGCTAATGTATGTCTCGCCGTATGCTGACTTAACTGCTAGGATGTGTGCATCTGACATGTGTGTGTTCCATCTTAAGTTCCTTCTACTCTTCATGATGCGCCACAAAGTAACAAAGAATATACAAAACGTACACTCTTTTTCAATTTTTTACTTTTTTCCATTTCTCGCATTCCAACTTTATCCTTCTTAATATTTTTTTCTTTCTTCTTTCTACAATGATTCGCGAATTCACCACTGGTGCAGGAAGATTTTCCATTTTTTCAGTAAACATGCAATGTCCTTCAGGTGGCATTAAAATAATGCACATGCACTTAACTTTATAGAAGATATTTTCAATTTTGTTTTGTTTTATTCTTAATTTCTTTGTTAGTATTGCTTTTGCTCAACGGATGCTTGTTTGGTATACAATTTAACAGTGCACACTGGATTTAAGTGGAGCGTTTTAAACGCGTGTTGCATCCTGCGATAGAAGAAAGGAGAAATCATTTTGTTGTGTTTCGTTCGTTCTGTAATCACTAAGCTTTTGAGCTACGGTGTTGTCCTTGTGGTTGTATTTATTTCAACATCGCTGTAATGAAATTCACATTTAGAATAATAAACGCAACATTACAGCGCATCATAAGTGCCAAAATAAGGACGCCAACGGCGAGAGCAGTACAAAGGACATTCAACCGCAATCCGCACAAACTCAGAGTTGAGTTCAGTTGCATATAAATAAATTAAAAACAAAACTGTCTAACACATATGCAAACAGAGGAAGGCATTAATGCTGTGGTGCATGGTCGTGGCCGAGGCCGCGGCACTGTAAACACGTACTGTACAAACGCGAGGATGTCGCATGCAAAGAAGTTCCATGGTACGTGCCGCATATGGTTCTGCTCGGCTGATTGCGCTGATGTGAATTACTTGCTCCATGTGTCGTAACGTTTGTCAACGTGTCGTAATTTAGAATTTTAGAAGCACAAATTAAAAACGTCAACAGGAGGCTGCATCTCTGCAGTCATCTTTAACTCCATTTTGTTTATGCGAGTGTTTCTTATCTTTCCTCTTGCCTACTGACTTGCAAATTTGGCAAATGGTAATGAACAACTCTGAACAGTTACACGTTTGCTTGTCATTAAATAAATACAATTCTTACAGATAGTTTAGTTACAAATCAATTATATAAAATTTACTTTGAAATAATTATCTTATTGAAGATAAGATATAGTGAAGACAGGGTTACCCATTTTTTAGTTTAAACGTAAATAAAACATGCCTGTGACTGAGAATTTTGATTACAAAAACGTTAAATTATACGAATTATATAAATTATATTAAATAGTATATAAGTTATATGGGAAATTTCATGCACTACAAAGCCAAAACAGGACATGCTGTGTAACTTATAGCACCTGTGATTTATCTATGAAATTTATGAAATGTAAGGAATCACCAGCATTATAGCGGGTTCTCACAATCTTATAGAAGAAATTGTTAATAAATGATTTATATAGTAAAACGGCGAACATTAAACTAAATATATGATGGCTTAGACTGAATAATCCTTTATTATAACCAAGAATATATGAAAAAGCTTTACACAGCGCCTGATTTTTCCGTCACCTTCAACCCTAATTAACAAAAGTGCAGAGTTCATATTAATAATAACAACAATAATCTAGATGGACTCAGCGCAATAAGTGAAAGAGCACAGCTCAGCACAGATTAGAAAACAGCTCGAAATATTATATTTAAAACGCAAGATATAATTTTAAACACGTTATTGAATTCAAATTAAATTAAAACAAATGTTAAATTCAAATAATATTTGTTAATATTTTCTGTTCTCTATGATTGTCTCTATAGACATAGCCCACATTTGTCGCCATAGACAACACTTCCTACTGTCAATTTGGCTTAAAAGTACCTGCATTCCAGAAACGATAGCACCCGTGGCTACTTGAAAGCGTTCTTCAAACTTGACTTTTGTTGATTATTCGCATTATAGTATTTTCGATATCAAACATATTTGGACTTCATATTCCATATATATTTTAAACATTATTTTGTTGTAATAATTTGGAATATTGGAGAAGTTTTAAAGTTCTACTTTAAACATCCATTGTCAAACAGACTTCATCAAAAGAAGTTGATTACACTGAGATTATGCAACTGCTTTGGTGTGCGCTCGTACGGTTTTTTATTTGCCTAAAAGAATACGTAACAATGCAAACGGAAAACGGAGCTGTGTGACGAATTTTATTTTTCTTTGTTCCATTTGGAAACGAAGTCAAGCCAAATGGTTATTCTGGCAAGAGTAAATAAAGGATTTTCTTTGTCAAATTCAGATTTTATACAATTCTCTTTATTGCAACTGTACTCACAGTCGCCTAACTGCTATTGGCAGTATTGTCACATGTCAGTTAGCAACATTGCCGCCTTAGGCTGTTCCTAGAGCCAAAGAAACTTAAAAATTCGTTGACTTTTTATTGAAATGCAATAGTTGCATGTATCTCAATGTGCTATACTCTACACCTTTTTTGAGTTATTTGACTGAATAGACTATTTTGCATGTTATAAATTTTTTTTATTATTTTTTTTTCGGCTGCATTACATAAAAAATTATACTTCGTATACAGAACATTTCTGTGCTCTTCTTATAATTGCAGTCTCAAGGACAGTTTTTCATTTTGAGTTACTGAAAAACGAAATATTTTAGAATTGCTGAGAAGCATATTGAAATATAACAAGATTTCTTAAAACTTTCTTGTCACAAGAATCAGTAGATTCATTACACCACACATTGCTATAAGTAAGAAAAATGATAGGTTAAGATAAAAACAGTTAGTAATCTTCTAACATACTAAGTCTTATATCTTTTAAAGTACTTCCAAATAAAGAAAATAGTTTACGTTACAGCGTAATATATGTAAGTCCTCTAAACTATCTCAAAACCATGCTACTATGAAATTTACACTGTATCAGAATGCTGTTTCTTGTTTATATAGACTATTCACATAGATTATTCACATAGCAAGATGTAATGGAAATTTCAAGCAACTTCATTAAATCGGCATTGCCACTACAGTTTTATTAATTTCCTCAGTTGTTGAGAAACATGTGCACAACAAAATGTGTAATTTATGCAACTGTTTTTTTCCTTATGCCTAAAAGTATACAGTGACTTACATAAATGATATTGATATTGAGAGAAATTAATGTTAATATTTCTTTAAGAAATATTTTGGCAACAATAGAAATTTATTATAATCTAAAAATTTCTTTAAAATATTTTCTGTTTTTAGCAAAATAATAAATAAATGTACGCAGTTGGCGACATTGTTACTCATTTGATCATTTGTTTAAAAGAATATACAATAACAATAATTTATTTTTAAATATATTGAAAATTTTAAATTTGAGAAAAGACTTGAAAACGATCTATAACGGAAAACTAATTATTTTTTTTTAAAGAGTAGACGTGAAAATTGCCCAACAGCCGGTACTGCGGCCAGAAGAGACCTATTGTACCAGTTTCACTATTGATTAAACAAAGCCCCTTAAAGCTTTGTGAATAAAGTCTAGAACTAAATCTAGAGAAGAGTTCTTTATCTGCTCTGGTGACAGAAATTCTTTATGAAACAGGTTTCTTCTGTGCGTTGTTAAAGCTGGACAGTCACAAAGAATGTGCATGGTTGTTTCCTCATCTTCGAGGCATAATCTGCATTCCGAGTTAGCAGATAATTGTAGTTTATGAAGATGATATTTCAGACCATAATGACCTGTAATGAAACCCGTTACCAACTTTAAATTACATTTTGAGAATTTAAGAATGTCTTTGTAGGAGTATGATGTTATGTTATCAGTGCTTTGCTTTGTCTGAGTCCTGGAAAGTTTACCCAGTACTTCAGCCGCATATGATTTTCCATTTCCTTGATAATCTGTTTTGTACTGGCCCAGTTTATTCCACAAAAGGGTTAAGGGCCTATAAAAGCAGTTTTTGATGCTGGCTAGCTCATCAGCTTTTTCATTTCCCAAAACTCCTCTGTGGCCCGGAACCCAGTAAAGGCTTACCTTATTCCGAGCTGCAAGTGATTGCAGAAGCTCGCAACACTCAAGGACCTGTTTTGATTTGAAAGTCCAAGAAGAAAGAGCTTTAATAGCAGCCTGGCTGTCAGAGTAAATAATAATTTTCGAGCCAGAAGATTTTTTGATTAAATTGGATTTTACGCATAAGCTTATTGCGTGGATTTCAGCTTGGAAGACACTCGGCCATGTGCCCATTGCCTCCGAAATGCTGGTGTTGGGTCCATATACACCAGCGCCAGTACCTTCAT